TTGACCCATAGGGGGTTATGAGTATGAAAAGTTACTTAAGGGAAATATTTTATGTTTAGGAGCTTCAGTTGGGTTGATATCCGAAGCCAAGGATTTTTCAGCTACTTGCCAGTATTCGAGGTGAGTTACCTTCCCGATATGAATGGGTTGAAGGCACAACTGCTGGCCTATTAATAGTTGTTATAGTAGATACGACTATCTTTGTGATAATCATCTGGTATGCCATTATTTGTTGAGATTTAGGTGCTTGTATGCTATGTTATTATTGTTGGATTAGTGTCTAAGTCCATAACTATATTTGGTATTTACTTGAACCGACTCGGCATGGTACATTTGGGTTGCATTGCATCATGCATTTGGATAGACTAAAATGAGAGAAAGAACACTTAAGGTTTGGTAATATATTATAAGTTCTAATATATTAATAAGATTATTTAACTAGTATTGATCAAGAATTAATTCGTAATTAATTAAGTGATAAAAAAGGAGACTAATTAAATCTATGGGTTGATTGTGTCAATCATCCATACTTGTATATTAGGTTAATGCTCCATGGATTATCAAGTTGGGATAAAACCTATAGGATGCTCCATGGTGTTTTTGTACCCATGAATCATGGAAATAAAAGACCATGACAATTAGGATTTACACGGTGTAACCCTAATTGTGACACACTATATTAGCATCTTATTCTTGTCATAATTTGCCACATGAGAGACTATGAAGGGATGGTGAGGGCTAGCTGATTTCATGAAGGGTATCATTTCTCTCTAAGTTATTCCAAGTGCATTTGATGTTGTGTGAACCATTTTAGGTGGCACACTTGGGGCACTAGGCTCTCTAGCTTCATGGAGTTAAGCTGCATCAACAATGTATGTATTTTTATCTAGTTTATTATTCAAGTATCAAAAGATTGTATGCTAGTTAGGGTAATACCTTGGAATATTCATATTTTCATGTATAATAGAGAAAACATAGATCCAAGATATTTAGGGGTGCATGTACACTTAGGAGTGTTAGAATGCTCAAAACTCAACAATTATGTGGTAGTGGTAGGGCTGAAATAGATCCCGTAAAGGACTTACAGGGTTGGCGACCACCCTTACATGCTACAAAGTATTTGATTTATGTGTTTATATGTTTGGATATTATGTGGTAGTGGTAGGGGTGAAATTTTCCCCGTGACTGGTTGAAAGAGACCGAAGGGGTAGGCCTGCACCCTGATATGCTAGAAGGGTACCGATAGAAAAAGACTGAAAGCGTAGACCAACACCCATATATGCTTGCTCTTACCGGTCGAAAGAGACTGTATTGGTAGGCCAACACCCAGATATGCTAGGCAGTTACTGGTTGAAAGAGACTGAAGGCATATTCCAGCACCCGGATATGCTTGGCAGTACGTTTATTCTTTGGTATGTAGTATGATGGGGGAACTTACTAAGCTGCGTGCTTATGATTTTCAATTTTGGTTTTAGGTACCTCTTCTACAAAAGGAAAGGAGTCGACATGATCGTAGTGCATCACACCATGATTTCTGCACATGAGATATTTAAGATTTATACATGTTTTGATTATTAACACATTGGTTTTAATATGGGTTGACATTATGGATGTTTTTATACTATTGGTTTTCTTATTACTTAATCAAAAAAAAAAATTTGGGACAAATTGGTACCAGAGCCCTGGGTTGAGGGATTCGGACGCACTCTCGGGTGTGTCTGGACTCAATTCAAGGGTTTGGAAGATTTTTACGTCAAAAATAATTTTCTAGAAATAAGATTAAGGGTTTTTACTAAGAAGAAGGAGTGTGATGCGTGCAATCGGTCGGGCTCAAGTAAGTTTTCCCCAAGATACTCATACATGTTATATTATGATATGAAGTATGAATATGTGAACTGGATGCTAGATAAGGGCTAAGGATCTAGGAAGGATGCATTGCATGCCTATTGTATGTGGTTATTGAACTGCATGCTAGTACTGATTAGTCAATGAGATGACAACCTGTTTAGGATATGTGTGGTTTTTGTTACTCAATTCTCGAATGCTGCTTGCTTTGTGCTTTTAGGATTTCTTGTTATCTTTAATGAACTACAGTACTAGAAAAACAACTTTTTACGATGCACAATGCGTGTCGTAAAACGCTCATACGATGCGCAAATGTCTGTCAAGGAAGGCCCTGTCATAACGAGAGACGACACGCTTTTGCTCGTCGTCTATTTACGATGCACATTTACGACGTGCATTTATGACACACATTTATGACATGCAGTTATGATACACAATATATAACAAGGAAGGCGCTATCGTAAAGGAAGATGACACGCATTTGCGTGTCGTAACCTTATGACGCGCGTGTTTATGACACACAATGTGTATCAAGGAAGCCACTGTCATAAATGAAGATGACACGCATTTGCGTGTCATAAACTAAAGTAACCATTTCGCTGTGCATTTATGATGCGTCTTTACAATACTCATTTATGCATAATACAAAGATATGTAAACAAATATATACCAAAACTATCAATTTCTTCGAATAACATCATATCAAAAAATTGTAATACATTAATATTAAGGGGATCTAATTGTACATTGTTATTAAGAGGTTTTCCCTAACTATGTAACCTAATACTACATTGCTATTAAGGGACACCTTCTGCAATGTAATGTTATACAGAAAAAAAAGATATACACAAAGATGATAAACATCTAATTCCAACTATGTAGAGTTGCATCTTGCTTTTCATAATTCTTTAAGACTAATGAACCCCTGCTCCGATAATTCTTATGATCTAATAAAATAAAAGTCAAAAAAATAATATGCTAATATAATTATTAGAAGAATCAAGCATGGAATGTTAGTTGTAAAACACGAAATTACCCTTTTCTCCATCCAAAGAATGTAGGACCACACTTGAGATATGATATATGATCCATGTGGTGTTCTGGGTTCCATTAAAACTACTCTGCATTGAAAATATTTGCATAAGTGTCTATCGTTGCAGAATTGCTTGCTTTAACACAACACAAAAATATTAGCCATTATTTTTGCTTCAAAAAACAAAATGAACTTAACAAACCTTCCATATCAAGACATGTCATGAATGACCTTGTATACACTCTAACAACAACTACTCCATGTTCTAGCTATAAAATAGGAACACCTTTCCAGCATCAATCATTAGTTCCATTACAGGTATCCCCCTAATATGAGAGTGAGAGAGAGAGAGAGTGAGAGAGAGAGAGAGAGAAGAACGCTTACCCATACAAGCCATAAACATTACTCCATCATAGAAATCAACATTTTTAATCAATCAACAACATTTGAAAGCATATTAGCATTTTAACTAATAAAATTACAATAAAATAGTTTTAGAATATTTTACAAAAAGTAGTTTGTTTAATTGAAGTTTTGATATATATATATATATATATATATACACATCCACACACACACACACACACATATATATATATATACACACACACACCCAGTATTCAAATGATATAAATTATAATATATATCATTACATTCCATCAAGTGATGAAAAAAATACCCCTCTACTCTATGGAATAGAAATCATTCCTATATTGCAAATGCAAACAAACAACATATTTTCATTCTAAATGTTCGACTGCTTTCTGAAGCAGAGATATATAAGAAGGGTCAATGGAAGGAGATCTTTTTCAAATTGAAGGACTCCAAAAAAAATGTGGATTGCTAGCATATGCATATAGTATGACTTGAATATTTTTCATCTCCCATCTTTTCCTCAGTTTTATTGACTTTGGAAGAATATAAAAGAGAAAAAAATGTGGATTGCTAGCATATGCATACAGTATACCTAGCCTCATTGCATTGAAGCTTGAGCCACCAGCATCATCAACATTTAATGTGGAAATCTGAGTACGCCTTGCTTGCTTTCTACATTATCAATGATCACATCTAACAAGTTCAGTAGCTGAAACACAGCAGATCAAACAACAATTAGGGAAGAAGAAAAAAATACATTTAAGATTTTACCAAAAGAAACGAATGTGCAAATTTTACCTGCTCAATATGTGCAATACTTCTCAAATAAAGTGATTAATCCACCACCACATTGCATAGTGCATCCACTACCTGTCTCCATCCAAATAATCTATAAGTAGAAACGTTTTTAGACCTCTTTAATAAGTCAACATTAAGGAGGTTGACTGGAGGTCGAGGCCTTTTAGTTTTGTTGGGTCCTACGCTCACACGTTGACCCAAACTTGTTGGAATAAATGTGGTGACATAAGTTTCAGTTTCAACCCAGGGGACTTGTAGTGTACGTCATGCATTTTAGTCAAAGGTCAAATGTTTGGCTAATGTACAAAAAATTAAAATTACAAATTTGATCAAAATAGGTGGCGGTGCGGGTGGTTTAACAAAATGACATTCTCTTTTGTATTTTTTTGCACAAATGGCCAAATATTTCTCAATACGAAAATCATTATATGCTACAAAATTTCTTTTGGAATGTTGTAGAGTACATGATTAGTAAAAATAGGTAACTTTAGTAGTAGTAGTAGTATTTTACATACAACTTGACCAATTAAAGAACGACACTCACTAAGAAACACAAAATATAACCACGCAACAAGCGAGGTTGAGGTTGAGGTGAATATTATTACAAATCTACATAAAAGAAACCATATAAATATTAGACAAATGAAATGATATCATCATCAGAAACAGAAAGAAAGAGTTGGTTTTGGTATATAAATAATACCTTGTAGGGAGGGGAGGGGAGGGGAGTAAAGTGAAAATATCAAGATGTGAAAGCAAAAATTCTATTAGCACTCTTGGCAAGACAAATTGGACACTCGGAACATTAGTTTATTTAATTGAATAATATGATAATTTGTATTTAGTTAATATTTATTATGTGACTAATAAAGGTTGCCAAAAAAAGTAAAAATGTGTTTGCGGTTTTAGAATAATAATAGTAATATATTTGGTGTTAAAAATAATACTTTCAAACGAGCAACAAGGGACTCTTCCTTTGGAACATCATGCAAAACTTGTTGAACAACATCCAAAACTTCCTTTCTTTAAGAACCTGACTATTGCAATCACCATTTTCGACTCTTACTTCATTCACATTTTCATTTCCCTCACTATTAACATTAGCTTCAATAACAACTCCTGCTTCTCGTTTCAAATCAGCAACAAGAACCCACATATTCGCCAAGTCATTCTCCAACTCCGCTTCTTTCTTCTTTAACTCCTCAACTTTTTTCCTGTATTCATCTTCTATAATTTCCTTTTCAGCCAATGCAACTTCTGACCTGGAATTAGAACCTGAAATTACATGCATCTGAATTTTCTTTCATAACTCGTTGATGAATTCTTCAGATACATTCTGGCCAAATGATGACTTAGATTTCTCACTATTGGCTGTAGCCAGTGGTTGTTCCAGCAATGTGATTCTCTCTTGCATTTCTTTATTTTCTATACATTGTAACAAAATAAAGATTTAAGATAAATATCATATTTAAAGAAAGAGCACAAGTAGATATTTTAAGATAGATAAGGCCTGAACTCTACTGGTCTATAGCAGAAGGACAAAAAAGGGCAATTGAGTAATTCCTTCTTGTTATGCTGCTGATATTTGGACAAGAGGTATTTTTGTCTTTTACTTAAATTTGTCAATTAGTGAGTCTAGCCAATCAAGCTGGACACTTTTGTTACGGGAGACAACAATAGTGGTACTATGTTTTATTGTCTTCCTTTATGGTCCACTATCCAATCCTAGAGACCATAAGTAGAATGTTCTTCCACTAGTTTTGATAGCTAAGAATTATTATGAAAAATTAGTCTTATATCTTTGTTGTTACGATAACTTTATAAATTATATTATTAAACTATTATATATAACAAAATAATTATTTGTATATAATTAATTTGAATTAAATACTATTCTATTATAAAAAATGTGTTATTAGATAGAAAAAATTACATGTATAAAACTGAAACATAAAAGTATTTTTAAATATATATGATTAGTTAATATCAATATAGTATATAACATAATATTACAAGTTCAGATATTAGATTTGAAATATAACTGTATAATTTAAACTAACTAAACATGTATAAACTCAAACTTCAATGACTAAATTACACAAAGGAATGATATAGCACCAAATTTGGTGTAGCAAATGGTGTTTGGTTGGAGTAAAATAATGTAAAAAAAAAGAAAAAATTTAAAAGCATATGTAGCTCTAACTCAAAACCTTTTTCCATGAAGTATAACACCAAAGTATACTTACCGAAGCAGATTCTATTGTTACAATTCCATGAAGATTTAGGTGGAATCTAAAACCTTTGATTGGTCCCCATTTGAGAAAGGAACAATCAGGAAAATTACTTTTATCATTAATCAGTTGGTTGAAAAGTACCGAGGTGTTGCATGTAGTAAGTAACTAATACATGGTCTTTTCCATTGATATCAGCTTTCACAAGCTTCAAATAAAATGACTTTGTGATCTTTGCATCACCACCTGGAACCTCTTCAACATGTCTGAAAGAAATTCAAAGTGCTTCATTCCTAGATATAAAAACAAATTAAACCCATAACCTAAAAAATCAAGTAAACTCAATGTAAATACTTTTGCAGCAAAAGAGCAATATTAGTGACCTCTTTCTCATTACGTTGTTTTTGTTGTCCATAAATTTGACATGAAACAACATATGTGAACTTCAAATTAACTTGTGCTCGAGCTTCATTGTGACTCTTGAACACCTTGAGGTGAAAGTCTTGCTTGAGGTAGAACTACTATTGATAGAGAACAAAAAAGATAACAAACAAATACATATAATAAGCATAAAGGTCTAGAATCTTGCCTAATAATCCGATTGGGCTAAAGATTACCTACCTCATAATGATCTGTTCTCTAAATAACTCTGAAGCATCAAAGCGCTCATGTAATACATCATACCACACACTATATACAAAAAGGTAGTTTTTAATAATCATAATCATAATATAATCAAACTTTAACTTAAAACATGTGTATGAGAGAATCTGACCTATCCTGGCTAAGGTCTGTCCATGATAAGACACCCAAAATCGAAGTTCCAATGCATCTGTAGCACTATCTTGAAGTTCCGCATCTCTAGTATTAACACGACCTATTCGTTCTAGAAAATTATCTCATTCATCTGAAATAAATAGAAGGGAAATGTTTTATCAATCATGGAAAATTATTTGATAAGAAATTTGAAATCCTAGTTAGCAAGGAGGAGAAATACTTGGAAAGATTTTCTGAAGATAGAAAATGGTAGGGTATCTTGATCGTTTGAGGGTATCCATCTTCATTTGTGGGTTCAGATGGATTGAGGGTATCCAGAGAAATTAAGTTAATGAAGGAACATACCGAGAAGTATCAACGACAGGTGCATGTGATAAACCAATTGGTGTATAGATCGAACTCGGGGATGGAAGAGATATGGATGGCGACGAAGATTTTGGAGTTGGTGGTCGTGAAGTGGAGGGAGCTGCTGGTTTGGAAAATAACTCCACTGGAAGAAGAATGAAGGAGTTAAAAGAGCTTGCGGATGACGGTATCAGGATGATTATGTTTCAATATGTGAATAGGGTTTCATCTTGTAAATGATGTTTGTTGGTGGAAGACATGGTAGGAGATTAGGGTTTCAAAGTATGTGAGTTGACCGAGGATGGCCACACAATCATAGGCATACTCTGGATTGGATCCCTCATCAATCTCACACTATCTCATCATCGTGCCGAGGAATTTTGATCATGAAAGCAAGAGCAATTATGCTATGAAGATGAAGGCCCTATGGCTTTTTATTGCTAATTGGAAGAGGCGGGGGTTCAAAATTTTGGGATCCAATAGGCAGGTGAAATCCTTTTTAAATCGCGTGTTTCATTAAAAAATTATTAAACGACACACTTAGATAACACACATTTTATGAAAGGTGCCCTCAGTATTTCCATTTTTTTTTAAATTTTATGACACTTGTTTTAGGACACTCACAAATGTGTGTCCTTTATGCTTTATATTTTGCAAAACTGACCTTATTTTTTAGGGCAGACACAAATGCGTGTCCCCTATCAACGCGTGTCATTGTTTGCACGTCATTAAGGGGCTGTTTCTAGTAGTGCTAGTAAACAAATATGATAAGTTACATATTACATGGACTAAATACTTTCAGAAGGTTAGTTCTAGCCTTATGTTGCAACCTTTGTTTGATTCGAACTGTTGTAGGGTACGACCTCTCATTCGAAGAATTATTTGGTCTTAGTAATATGTAATGGTATTCGCGAGCTAGTTAGGGTGAGATAGCAAGGACTTCTTATGCAAGTGATGGTGGAGAGTAAGTCGGAGATTACCCTAGGCAAATCCTAGGATGTGATTAGTGACATGAGCTATTTGATTGAGAACTGAATACATGGATAAGAAGTGACTTTGTTATCCATTCATGGATCATGAAAACCTAAAATGTGATGGAGTAGTGATTACTAGTGGGTAGTAGGTAGTTTGGGCTCAATGGTTGGGTTGTGCATGGTAACCCACAAATTGAATTAGGGTTGCATGAAGGCTAAGGAAACATTTTTAAGGCTTCATAAGTGTTAAAAACGTTAATTTTTACTTCATAAAGCCACCTATCCACTTTTAGCAATCTTTGTTGGATTAGGGTTACACTTTAATGATTCTATTGGCTCATTAATGCTTCTTATGGCTCCTTATTGAAGCATAGACGTTTTTGTTTTTGCATTCTCAAGTGTCTTGTGTAGAGGTTAAATTGTAAAAGTCGAATTGTGTGTTTGTTTAGTTTCGCATTTTTAGTTATTTTACCAAGTCAGTTTTATGCGAAGCGTATTGTAATAGACTTAGTATATTTTTTGTACACTCAGGTTCTCTATAAATAGGGACCGAGGACAGAAGTAGAGTATAACCTTTGGAACTCAGATATGCTTTCTGCTTAAGTATTGTAATCAGTCTTTATCAATATAAGATCTGATTAATATTTACTCTTAGTGTTCTTACTTTTCAATCACTTAAGTCATAATTGCTTTCATAATCTCGATAACAATTCTCTTCAATTGGTATCAAAGCAGCATTCAAACTACATAGATATGATTTTAGTGTTAGAATCATTTGCTTTTTGAGTAGCAACTTTACTCAAAATTTTCCGTGCATTTTGGTTTTGAAAATCAAATTTGATCTTCAGATTTGAATTGATTTTGTCTTTGAATTGTTTAGTCGAGTAATCGATTAGCGATTTGTGATCAATTCAGTTGATCAATTCTCAAATTCCTTAAATTTTTCAAGCTTTCTAAAAATTTCTGTGTTCATCAATGACGAACTTCAATATAAATACTATGACTTCCTTCTCTCACTTGCTTGGTTCCTTAACCAAAATTCCAATGTTGATTCCTGAGTACTATGATCAGTGGGCTGATAGAATAGAGGATTACTTAAATGGAATTGATGAAGAACTTTGGAATTGTATCGATGGAATAGTGCAAGCTCCTACTAATGTTCAACCAAGTGGACCATCAACTACATCTGCTGAACTTGCTGAACAACAAAAACGTTTGAAGAATAATGAAAAGAGGTGTATGAGGGAACTAAGAGGTGCTCTACCTCCTGTGGTTTACAATTACATCCGTAGTTGTAAAACAGCCAAGGAGATCTGGAACACTCTAAAAGAGAAGTATCAAGGTAGCGAAAAGACAAAGATCAACTCTGTGAAGCAATGTCTAGTTGAACTGAAGGAATTCAAACAAAAGGATGTTGAAACTCTTGAAAATTACTATGATCGTCTGAAAGAGCTTGTGTTTTACTGTAATAGGTATGGAATCACTAGGTCTCTCATGGAGTTCAATTTAACTTTCATCATTGGTCTTCGCAAGGAATGGCGAAGCGTAAGTATGATGATTAAGAATCAACAGAGTTTTGATACAACTCACTTGAGTGATCTCTACAATCAGTTGAAAACACATGAAAGTGAAGTTTCAGAAATGTATGAAGAATCAAAACAGAGTATTGGAGGTCCTTTGGCTCTTGTTTCAAAGGTATCAGAAGTTGATATTAATGAAAAAGATGGTTCAGATAATGAAGGATTTTTTATGAACTCTGATGATGAAGCTGTGGCATTCTACTCAAATAACAGAGTTAAGAAATTTTTCAAAAAGCCTTTTAATACAAAAGGAAAGGCTACTGATGCGAAGAGTGGAGTCACAAAAACTGGAGGAGAGGAGAGGAAGAAAATGGAGAAAGCTGATGAGAAACAAAAAGATGTGAAAGAAGTGAAGAAGCTGAAAGGTGACTCAGGAATTTATTG